TGGCTATGTATCAGATATATCAGAAGCATCCAGGTATAGTGTATAAACAGAATTGAGAATCTTACCAATTAGAAATTGTACACACAAAGATGTGCTTTTTAATTTAGCTTATCTTAATCACATATTATGATTAAAAACTGAACTAAAAATGAATTCATAGTTTAATTTGAAACATATACAGGTGTCCATTCATCTGAACTGTGATTGCTGAGTTTTAATTCCATTACATGACTGCCTCCTTCATGCCATTGAGCTCTCATATCAAATGTCACCTCCTCAAAGGTCTTCCCTGACGTGTTTACCTAATGAAAACTCCCATGTGAAAAAGCTCTCATCTCTCTAGCCCAGGATACAATAGGACAATTATGGCAGAGATTACAACTACTGTGGTTTTCCCCTTTACTATTAAAATAACAGAAACATCCAACTTTTAGCTGGGCTCTGATGGCCCCAATAGATACTATTTTTTCCAGATGTTTTTGTAGTTCGTTATAGGCAGGTGACTAAGTTTGGGCCGATAGGAAGTGAGAGGAATGAAGACATGTCACTTGTTAGATCATCTGCTTAGTGATGAGCCATTTGCTCTGGATAAATTATTTTTTTGTTCCAACTGATTAGAAAGCAACCATGGTGCTGGTGAACTGCTCAGACCATATGGTTGTGGGTACCACCCAGTGGGTGGACAGGGATACCAAAAAACCTTGGTTCTTGAAGACTCTGGTAGATGACTCTACCTTCCATCCCTTGACAGATGAACTCTGGGAACAAAAAAATAAAGATGTCTTTCATGAACACTTGTATTTCCAATCTGTTACTGAAATTCAATGGTACCCTAAATAATACACACTGTATCCCATATCTGCATTTCATTGTCTTCCTAACAGTTAACACTATCTCTATCTTTGTCATCTATCTGTTTACTGTTCAATGTCTATCTCCCTTTTAACTGGAATACAATTTCCATGAAAGCAGAAGTCTTGCATTAACTCCTGCACTCCAGTGGCTAGGACAATACCTAGCATAGTAGGTTTTTAATAAATAATTGAGAATTAATGAATGACTTAATAAGTAGGTAAGTTATAATTAGTGAGTTAACTGAGTACATTTTAATGGATTGTTTTATGGCAACAGAGGAAAAGGATGACTGGATATCTGTAAGAAAATGGCTCTGATTTGAGTCACCACCATCATCTTTCCTAATAAATCTCATGGTTCTGCCTTGTGTCACATCCACGTTTCACTGGTAAAAGGCCAAGGCCTATGGCTGATTTGGAAGTGGCAATTATTTAGTCCTTCTGTTGTTTCCAATGGGATAGTTTGGTGGTATAGGATGATATGTGAAGAAAGGTGGGACAGGGGAAGGGGAGCAAAAGTAGTATTCTGTCTAAAACTTGAGGGTCACGATAGGATGACCAGATACTCCAACAGCCAAACTGCACACATTGGCAGGGCTATTAGTAATGATCCTGGGACCACAGGTGCAATCAGGGACTGTTTCAAGCAAACCTGAGCCACAGCCTAGTGAAGTATCAAAGGACATCGAAAATTTGCACCTTTTCTTTGAGAGTTAGGCACTGCACTTGAAAAATGGATTCTTAAGCATTTAACAAGTGACAATCTCACCAGGACTCACAGAGATGGCCCTACGTTTTCTCTTGTGATGGATGTTTTACTGAGATGTGAATAAGTCGTTCAATGTATTAGCTCCCAGAGTATTTAACCTCTAGGTTAATTCCCTGTTAAATAATTTATGAATATGAAGGAAAAGTTGACTAGTCAGCAGCATTACAAAAGAAAAGGGATTTGGAACAGCAGACTTGCTTAAGAAAATTTGCTTTTAGCAACAATCTGGAGGCAAAAAATAACATTTTAGGACATCCATAGCTGAGAGGATCAGCTGCCAACTCTTGGGAGAAATTCTAATCAGACAATCATACAAATGGGTAAGAATGAACACACATTGTGGGGGGGGGAGAGGGAGGGAGAGAGAGGGGGTTGGGGGAGAGGGAGAGGGAGAGGAGAGAAGTAAACAAATTGCAAAATCATAGACATCAAAACCACAGGGACCTATTATGGGTTATGGTGGATCCCATGGGATTTTATGAGTGGAACCTTAACAGGTTTGTGATATATGTGTTTGGTGACAGAGCAGTAGAACTCATCTGGCTATTCATTCCAGGCATTCAGGGGCTACTATCCACCAGGTGATGAACTGGTATGGGAAGGGGGAAGGTGTATCCTTTTTTCCTAGCACAGAGAATGCTCACATATATTCACGCTTGGTAGACCTCAAAGAGTCGTACAAACATGGAGCTTAGACCAAGAATGATGTTTACAATTGATTCTGTAACAAGGGAAGCTTCAGAGGAGCCTGATGCCATGGTAACGCTTATTTACCCATCACGCCTGTTCTAGGAGCTTTGTACAGTTTAAGAAGAGACACAGTCTAACTCCTAGGAGGGCTATATTCCTAAAGCACTGAGGTGTTTTGTATTTGATCTTTACCAACTAGTGAAACAGTGAAATCATTCACACTGAGTTTTACTATAATTGATATGGGGAGCAATTAAGCAGATGAGAGTTTATTCAATCTTGAATGAAAAAATATTTGGGGGAGAAAATTAGAACAAGCAGTCCAAGGTTTCTGGGGGAGAAAAATATCACTTGCTTTCAGGGGGAAATGGTCATTTTAGAGTAGGCACCAGATTATCGTGGTTCTTAAACTTTGCCTTGCAGAAAAGTAGGCCTAACATGGATATTTCTGGGTCTATCCCCAGAGACTTAGATTTAGTGAGTCTGGGGTGGGGTACAGAGAAACTTCATTTTCGGTATGTTTCCTAGGTGATTTCTGGTCAAGTTACTCATGCACCCCTACTTGGAAAGCACCACTATCCTAGAAGAACTACACCATGATCTGGAAGCTTCTAACAGGACTCCAGAGACCTGAGGCAGGGTTTTGAATGCAACCTGGCACAGACTTTAGGGGACAAGCTGCTGGTTCAGTTTTCCATCCCTAATTAATAGAATCTGGAGCCTACAGTAGCTGGCATATGATGTAGAGCTATTTTAAACAAGACAAAACAAATGATGTGCAGCTGGTAACCGCTACCTTGAAATATAAATTCAGCTGCAATTTGTATTCAATTTCTTACAGATGTTGCGCAGCAATGTGATAGCACTTTCTAAAAGCCCATGGTGCTAGAGCAATGAATACAAGAATCTGACAAGGACAGCCTGACCGGAGGCATATGTGACCACTATTTTTTCTTAAAGTTATGTCCATGTAAATATACAAGGTGACTAAGATGAAGTGCCTTAGTGTTTCACTTTAGCAGAGCCCTTATGTTCCCCTGACTTCAGCACAGAATCACCCAGGAATAGATCATCAACGTATTTTAATTTCATGGGAAATATTATAGCTGCCACGTTGTATGAAAATGACATCACAGAGGTGGGTGCAGTGGCTGTAATCCCTGTGACTTGGAGGCTGAGACAGAACGATTGCAAACGTGAGGCCAGCTTCAGCAAGATCCTGTCTCAAAAAAAAAAAAAAGTGGGGGGAGGGCTGGGGATGTAGTTCAGTGGTAAAGCACCCTTTGATTCAATCCCCAATATATTTAAAAAAAATATGCCATTATAACAACAAGCTTACTTTTCTGACACTCATTTACTATTTAGTGACACAAGCTATTGCAGAAATTTTCAGAGAATGGCTGTGGTGGGTTTGTAATTCCTTTGGTGTGCTCATCTTAGCCTTTGCCTCACTGTGGTGCTGCCAAAAACACCTGTGCACATATTTACAGGCTGTGTTAACAAATGTTATATGTTTGAGTGTGTTATAATTCCTTGGGTTGTGCTGTGATCTGAATATCTTGTGTCTCCAAAATTCACGTTGAGGTCTAATCCCCATGGTGGTGGTATGAAGGTAGTGTAAGCTACTTTTGTGATCTACAATTGGATCACAAGGGCTCTGCATTTCTGGATGAGGTTAGTCTCTTTATACAAGAGGCTTAAAGGAGCCTGGGTGCCTCTTCCAACCTAGAAAGCAGTATTTATGAGAAATGGGTTCTCACTAGACACTGAATCTGCCATCTCTGCGATCTTGGACTTGCCAGTGTCCAGAACTGTAAGCAATCAATTCATTTCTATTGTTTATAAACTACCCAGTTTTAAAGTATTTTTTTGTTATAGAGTTTAACTGTACCTTATCCAAAATGCTCGAGATTGAAAATGTTTTCCATTGTGGAACTTTTCAGATTTTGAATATTTGCATAGACTTTACTGATTGAGCATCCTTAATTTAATAAAACTACTATCTGAAATGCTCCAAAATCTGAAACTTTCTGAGCATTATGTTAACACTTAAAAATTTGGGGAATTTTCAGATTAGATATGCTCAAACAGAAGCAGCCCAAATGAACTAAGACAGGTGGTGTTTGTTTAACGTATGGGTTTCTAGGCCTTGTACACAGACATTTTGATTCAGGTGTTCAGGGAGAGTAAAGAATGTACATTTTTGACAAAGTCCATAGACAATTCTGTGGTAGGTGAATACAGATCCCACTTTCAATAGAATATTCAATTAGCACAATAAGGAAATGCAATGTCATCAAAGGGTCGACTCAGGCAGGAGGAGCCACTTGCAAGATGGCTCACTTACATACTGTGAACAGGTGTGTTAGCCCGCTTTTCATCACTGTAACAAAATACCTGAGTTAATTTTCTTACAAAGAGAAAAGGATTACTTTGGTTCTCTGGTTCAGAGGTTTTAGCCCATGATTGATTGACCCCATCGTTTTGGGTCTGTGGGGAGGCAGCACATCAGCACATTATGGTGGGAATGTTTGGTAGAACAAAGCTGCTTACTTCATTAGTCAGGAAGCAAAAGGGAAAGACTGGACACATTGAAGTTCCAAAATCTCCACTGGGGACGTGTCCCCAATGACTTAAGAACCTTCTGCAAGTCCCCAGCTCCTAAACTTTCCATTTCCTCCCAATAGCATCACCCTGGGGACTAACCCTTTTACACATCCGAACTGTGGCAGTAGAAGACCTTGTTCTTTTCCACGTTGACCTGCCATGCAGATATCTGAGAATCATGGTATGATGGCCTTTCCAGGGTGAGTAATTGAAGGAAGAGGGTAAGGAACAGCAAAGCTTTTTCTGACTAATCTCAGAAGTCACACCAATAACTTCTATCACATTCTATTTGCTAGAAGCAAATCAGTCAGTCAGGCAACACAATGGGAGGGGAGTTGGACTCTCTCCTTTGAAGAGAGTAGTGTCAAAAATTCATAGTTTTATTTTAATACTACCTCTATGTGTGTGTCTTGTTAGACAAGGAATAGACAATCTTGTGTGTTGTAGGACACGCATAGTGAGACTTGTGGCATGGAATCATGTACACTTAAACCACTTACTATTTTCAAAAATTTGAAAACTTGAAAAAGTGGTCTCTTTTAAAAAATAGGTTTAGAAACTTCTTGTCTTCTTAAAATCTTCAAAGAGTTTTACTCACATATAATCCCAAGAGAGGTTTGAAAGTCTAGGTACACTTCCTTACATGTTTATAGTTAATGCCAAAAAATTTTATCATTAGTTTAAAACATTTTAAAGAATGTAATTTTTGATGTGACACAAAGGTTGACATTTCAAAGGAAACAATTACATTTCTCTTTTAAAGGTATTCAATGGAATCTAAATAACAATGATTTGCTGTTTCACCATTTCTAGCCAAGAGAGAAAAAAAACAGATATGAAGGAGCCTTTTTAACATTTAGAAATTGTGTATCTTTTCTTTTTTTCTTTTAACTCATTTTCCCATTTCTCTTCATGCAGAAAAATATCTTAGTGAAAATTATTTTTGTTAAAAAAACTTTGCATTGATCAGACTATTGTAGTTCTCTGCTAGAAAAATATGTATATAAACTGAAACAAAAACATTCAGGTTATTTTTTGTAATTTAAGCTCTCAGTGATAAAATATTTTAATCTGAATTATCATCACAAGTACTAACATGCAATTCATCAATATGAGATATAAAAATATTGAGAAATGGAAAGCAAAATTTTATTGGAATTACAGTTCTAAATGAGATGTTTAAAAGAGTTTACTTGCTTAAATTTTTATTATTATTTTGTGATTCCATAGGTGTGAAAATGATTTCTTTCCAGAATGAAAAAGAGCTCAGCATTACTTTATATCTATTTTTTGGGTGTCTTTGTTAAGAAATCTTGTTCTTATACAGGTAGATGTTACTAATTTTGTTATTGTAATGAAACTTTTGTCTACTTCTGGCTTATCTGTCAAAAAATTACATGGACTCTATTCTCATGTATCTATAAAGTAAAAAAAAAATGTCATGGTCTGGCAGCTTCTAATTCAATTAGGTTCTACTTCAATTTTGGTGAAAGCAATGAATTCAAAACAATAGTAACTGTAAGAAGTGTACATGATTCCTTCATAGCCCATGCCACAACTGTCAAAAGGATGTCATTAGAATTATTCATTTCTCAGTGTCTGGGAAAATTTTTTAAAATTCTTATCTTTGAAAAGTCTCCACTCAATCTTCTGAAACAACTATTAATTTTATGTGGTATGATTTCATTTATAGGCACTGCTTTTAATCCAATATGTTTAGAGAGGATTAGAAAATAAAAATATTGTTAACCTTGTTTTGCCAATTAGCATTTTTTTCAAATGCTTTTAACTTTTCACATACTTTAGAAATATATATTTCTAAATATATATTAGAAATATATGGATTAGAGCATGGTCAGTGTTAATTTGTACATCTCAATTTGCAAAGTTGAGAGGAGAACTTTTAGCTCATTTAGTTTACCAAAAATGTCTGCTATATAATTGAATTGTCAAAGCCAGCCCCCTTTGTAAAAAAAAAAAAAGTACCCATATGAGATTTATTTTATGTTAGAAAAGGTCAAATTTCATTTCTTATAAAAATTAAATTAAATATAATATATTTATTATATTTTTTCTAGCTTTATAAAATCCACTGAAAATTATGGCTCTTATAGATGACAATTACATTAAGATTAAATTGATGTAGATTACTATAATTAATTTTTATGTTATAAGAAAAAGGTAAATCAATATTTTGTCACATTTCTTAATTTATTATTTGGCAATGTAAAATATAGCTAAATTTATTATATTTTTAAGGAAGTGATGTAAAGTAATTTTTAAGTAATTTAAAAAATTTTTAAGTAATAAAAAACATGCCATTCTTTATGTGTACGGAAGCTTGTTCCTTGATTTTACTTCCTTCTATTTTTTAAAATACCCAGTGAACTTATGTTATATTCTGTATCATAATTCCACTAACTCCTGGATTTGCACATCTTGTTCTATGTTTTATTTTTGTCTGGTTCTCACTCATGATGTCTTGCTTCCATTTGTATTTTGTGATTTTTTTTTTATTGTGCACATATATTGGTTATAATACTAATAGTAGGAAGTTTTAGAGAATGAGCTTGAGCTTGCATTCTCCTAGGGAGGAGTTTGGTGGTTTCTACCCGGCACTCATATGTATGAACTTTGAGATCACTTTAATTAGGTATTAGAGCATGGTCCATGTTAATTTGTACATCTTTTTTTTTTTTTTAAAGAGAGAGTGAGAGAGGAGAGAGAGAGAGAGAGAGAGAATTTTTAATATTTATTTTTTAGTTCTCGGCAGACACAACATCTTTGTTGGTACGTGGTGCTGAGGATCGAACCCGGGCCGCACGCATGCCAGGCGAGCGCGCTACCACTTGAGCCACATCCCCAGCCCTTAATTTGTACATCTTAATTTGCAATTTTTAGAATCATGTGAACAATACAGATCTAGTTCCAAAATGTACCTGAAGAAGGATGGCCCAAGGTCATTATTCTCAGGGAATAAAAAAAAGAAAAAATTGCCCCTACCTCCAGGTTCCAGGCAATAGTCCCTATTATCTGCTTGTGCATGGAGTGTTCCCCATGTTCTTCCTTTCCCTGAATATATATCCCTTCCTGATTCCCATCTTTTTTTTTTTTTTGGTGTGGTAATCTTACCTCTCCTTTCCCTGCCTTGTTCCAAGGCTGTTTAATGCCCTCTAGAGACCGAATCCCTAGAGCACCTGGATTTACACATGTACCCAGAGTACTCAAATGTTTCAGTTCTGGCTTACCTATTTGCTCTCATGTTACTGGTTTTTGTGTGTTTCCCCATTATTTCCTGATATATATAAAAATATAAAAATTTATATATTTATAAATATATAAACACATATTTATATTTAAATAATATTTATATATAAATAAATATACAAAAATATATTTATATATAATCAAATGTACTTGTGTGTGTATTAGTGTGCTCTATTGCCCCAAACAGTATTCTAGAATTAAATTTTGACAAGTTTTAGACAACAGCAAATGTTACCATGAGTAGTTTGACTCATGAATTATATTTTATAGGTTTTAAAAATTTGATGTCCAATTTTTCTCAGCAGCCTGGTCAAAATATACTTGAGAAGAAAATAGAAGAATTAAAACATTCCTGGGAGCACAAAATGATGAGTTTAAAACTTCCCTGTCTGAAACTGCTTCAATCATTAACCCTGACTTCTTGGGTGAAGTGATTGGTCCATGTGACTTAAATAGGCCAACTGGAGTCCTTCCCTGGGATTTTATATAGAACACTGGTTAACACTTTGGAAAGCACTATGGAGATTCCTCAAAAGATAATGAATGGAAACACCACATGAGCCATCTATCCCATTACTTGGTATTTATCCAAAAGATCTAAAATCATCATACTATAGTGATTTATGCATACCCATGCACAATTCACAATGATCAAGTTATGGAACCAGACTAGGTGTCTGTCAACAGAAAAACAGATAAAGAAAATATGTTAAATATACACAATAGAGTTTTACACTCATCTATAAAGAAAAATGAAATTATGTCATTTGCTGGTAAGTGGGTAAAAATGGAGAACACCAGGCTAAAATAAAAAAAACAGACTCAGGAAGTCAAGGGTTGAATGTTTCCTCTTATGTGGAGGCTGGGAGGATGGCAGTAATTAAATCAAAGTGGGGATCTCATGCAAATAGAGGGGAGATCAGTAGAGTAGAGGAAGGGGATCCAGAGGGAGAAAGGAGGAGGGCATTGGGGGGAAGTACCAGGGAATGAAATCTACCAAATTATACTTTGTTCCTGTATAAATTGACTGTAATGAATATATATGCTGTAATAATAATAAAGACATCAGTAGATAGAGCAAGAAGGTTGGGGGAGGGAGAAGGAAAGAGAGATGCAATGGTAGGCTAAGTGCTAAGAGAGGCAGGTGGAAACAACTAACCAGATGAGAGATGGGGACAGGAGGTGCCAGAGAAATCTCACTTGATGTAGGCTTGCAGGAAGGCTGGGAGAGTACCATACAGAAGGCAAGGGCAGAGGCTTTCAGGGAAACAGTTGGAGCAAAGGTGTGGAGATATAAATTGGTATATAAAGTTAGCATTAGTGGAATGTGAAATATTTAGATTAGTTGGGCAATCAGAAATTTTGACATTAAACTAAGTGGCTACTAGGAGAACCCAAAGTTGCTTTGAAGTATAGAGTTTTCTTTATTCTGCTTCATGTTCATTAAGAGAAATGTTTTTTTTTTTTTTTTTTTTGCAACAAAGCAAAAAGAAAGTTGGTTCATATAGCTGTAAAGACGCTGTTCCAAACTGTAGGTGTTTGGGGTCTTGTTTTATAGTATCTTAGAACACAGTAGAAACCTAGTTAATTTCAAGGATTGAATAGGGGAAAGAGAATATCTTGTAACTGGAACTGGTCCTAATCACTCTTAGTATTTTTTTTTTCCTAGATTGGATTTGAAATATCAAACAAAACAGGAAGGTGTAACTTTATTATTCCTGGTTTATTGAGAAATTGTCCCTGGTGGGGTATAAATACAGAATGGCTTTATTTTGTTGTTATAGAGACTTCATGCTCCAATGAGTTTCTTTCCCCAGCACCCAGTGCTGTCTTAGATTCCATAGCCTTCCGGCCATCTTTCCTAATTAAAACCTTCAACTTCAATTCTGTTTAAATCTCCTCCCACCCACTCCTAGCGCAGGCTTTCCCCGGG